CGTTCGAAGAAGGTATTTCTAAATTTCTTTGAGTGATTTCAATGCATAATGGTGCATAAAAGGAATATCATAGTAAGCGGAATCGATCTCCGCTGAATATGATCATCAAATTGTTACATTCATTTTCTCAAATTGTCTGAACAATACTAATCTCTATCTAAAGTCGTGACATAAATACACCGGTTACTAATCTAATTTGTCGCACCATAACAATAGTCTTAGGAAGATCAAATTATATATATGTTATTTAAATTAATATTACCTGTGATGTCGTTTAAATTTGCAACATCTCATATTATAACCTAGAAACATAGTATTACCATCGTGTCCGAGAATTTGTCAACTGTTGTCTACAAATTTTCTAACTCTATTAAAATTTCTCTCTGCGCTTTTAACAAGGTTATAATTCTTGGCCCTATGTTATTCGACTATAATGCATTTAGCTTCCGTGATGTAATATTCTAGTTTACGGAAAAACTTTCGCATTCTTAGTCTTCATTGGCAACTATCTGTATATACTGTAATTACAGATCAAAGCGTGGCAAAAGAACTTTGGTAAGAAGTCTTTCTTTATGACCTCCCAGTGTGTATCTATTAACAGTATATCAATCACACGATATAATCTCGCAGTCAAATTTGTTAATTCTTCAGCAATTCTATCAGTTGTAATACAAAAGTCACGCTCCTGCAACAAAACTTTGAAGCACGATGTCTCTGTCACAAGTTTTATTTTTAAACTCTACTTCGCCGAATGAACGTAACCGATGAAATAAACAACGCTCCAGACAGTTTAACTTTTCTTTTTAATGGTATACGTGGTCTTACTTGTACGAGTGTGAGCTGTTGATTTTCATTTTCATACATAGGGAATTCGAATTTAACGTAGGAGGCGAATTCATCTTTGTATTGTCATAACTGTTTATAGTAAATGGTATTGGTATGATAATGCATGAAGCGAATTTAGTAATGATAATCTGATACATAATAAGTGTGACATTATCTGCATGGAGATCTACCGGCATGGGCTTTTTAAAGTGAAATCTATTGATATTGCTTGCCTTTGTATTAGAGAGCGGTTCGTTTCATTATACTACATACTATTACTATTACCCCCGATGAGGCATATTAATATGTATGATGCTATTAAAGCGTTAAAATCATGGATTCCGACAACGATGTGAGCAATATTATATAAACTCATTCTCCGATACGCAAATATGCAGTGATAACATGTCAGGTGATGACATGCATTTCTTCATTTCCTTTCCATGGAACGTGCGTTCTAGAAATTCTGGACTGTTTCAAGTTATGCTCGCAGAAACTTCGATGCGTGAGCGAACGATTGGTTTTTTGAATTTTACTTTACGGCAAAGATTTGATGATAAGTAAGTAAAATCTTCCTCCGCAGTCAAAACCCCATGATCGACATGGCGTCGTCAGGCGCAGAAAACGTTGCTCATTTTTAGTGTCAGCACAAACGCCATTAGCCAACTTAGGATTTGATTGGTTCTTCATAGAATTTACGATTGTTTAGTTATTTTTAAATTCGTTTCGATTTTCACCAATCCACGGAATATTAATAATCAAATAAACGGTTCCATTTGAAATCGGAGTTTTGCTTTCTTTTGTCGTCGAGGTATTAATTATTTAACCGGACACACAAATAAACGCCCCTGCCAACTTGTCTGCCGATCAATTACTCCCGATCGGAGAACGAGAGCTCATAATTAATTATTGATGGCAAATACTGTTTAATTGGTTATCACTAGAGACAAGTGACGATACCCGACTAGTCAAAACACCAAATCGAAGATAGCCTTGTTTAATTTATAAATAGATTTATTCCCCTGTGATTCTGCGATAGAATAATTGTTGTTATTATTCTACCCTTATTCGGATTACGAGTGACTGAAGCTGTGTAGGGAGTCAGGAAGCGCGCATTTTAATTATTAAATTAGGTCACTTATTCAGTCTTAATTGAACAACTACCTTAATAAGGGCGTTAGCACGAAGCTAAATCTAGTAACATCCCCGGTCGGAAGAACACCCCTACGCGAAAGATAATTGCTCTCTCAAACCCCAGACCATCCGACCGTAACAATAATATGCATCTATTCAGAATTTTAGCTAAATTATTGATTTCTCATATGGAGATATTTTGATCTATCGCTACATATACAGTGCGCGAAATAAATTTTCGGATAAAGTTTTATTAATTGTGCAACGAGAAATTTTACATATATGCTCTTCCTAGTACAGCACATTGTTTACTTATTGCTACTTAGTAGCTTATCTTAAATCATTCCCGTTCATTATGTTATCCATTGACATAAGTGCTTTTTACGATCCCTTCCCAAAGATTTCAATTTTTAAGCTTTTATATCAAATACAATGGTTTCCAGCATTTTCTATAAGTTGTGTATAGGTAACTTTCCCAATTTGGACTTAATCATGTCATGTAAAATAAAAACAAAAGCTTATTTAGTGTTATTTATTTTATGTAATTATAAGTTTAATCACTTGCCAACTCTGAGAGTTATTTTATTCTATTACAAATGGTTCCATCTAAGCAAGAGCATTTTTAAAGCAAAAAACGTGCAATGCTTCTAAAATATACTCACAGATAAAAATTTCACCTCAGACTGTATACTGAAATTCAAAAAAAAAAACTCAATAAAACTGGAAATTCTAAAATTTTTAGTAAATTGGAAAGGTTTAGGGTTGAAGAGTGGAAATTAATATTCCCGAATAACCTTCTAATTAGTTTAAAATGTTCAACGGAACACTGTAGGAGAATTATCGCAAAAGTAGTAAAAAATTTTCATGTTAATAATTACATTAATAAAATCTGCTGCTTTTAAGCTTTAAAATGGTATATTAATATGATGTGTTTTAATTGGTTTTTTCATTGTAAAATTAGAGCAATTTAAACAGTTACCTTTTTTGCACACCACTGTATTGTCGAAGCAAAATAGAAGTTAATTACAGACTCCCTGGATCCATAGAGTAGTTATGATTTTTGTGACATTGGTAATCGAAAACTTGTCATTATATTTTAGTAACGAAACAAAAAGTGTAACAAATAAAACAAATTGCGCGAGTTATAAATTATGAAACCGAGTTTTTGCTGGACTGTTAATGCATAAGACTAGAGCGTACAAAACGTGTTGGATAACTTTTTGATTAGACGCGTATTTCGGAAGAAAGTAGTGTTTCTGCATTCTATTTCGAGAACTTTTTTCTCGCACTGTAATTGATAAGCATAGAAATTGTATCAGTAGTATAAACAACAAATAAAGAATTTTAATACAGCCATTTCTTAACAATTTTTAAAATTCTGTACTTATGTATTTTGAATTATTCTAAATACAATTTCTTAATAAACTTTTTCCTGTTAACAATGAGGTTTTTGTCGATTGAAATTCCAAGACAAAATTAGCGAAACTCCTTCGCCGACTCTGATGATCTTTTTTTTTAGTAAAGGAAGATGGAAAAAGATTTATAAGTGTACGAAATACTGTATATGTAAATGATACTGCAAACAAGTTTAATTAATACATAAAATACAGCTATGTTACTAAACTTTCACGTTTCTATATACACAGGCAAACTCGATAAGTCGGTCTCTCGATGATTCAATTTCGGCCTAAGAAGGCCAAACTTCCCAAGCCCTTTTCTCAGTTTTAATATTTAAAATATCTCGATAAGTCGGTTCTCTCGATAAGTCGGTCCATAATGCATGACCGACTTGTCGAGTTTGCCTATGTACACGATCTCATGGTATAATTCGTAAATTTTATGTTACTCGGTAACTTTTTGAAAGGGGTTGTATAAATGTCCGACTTACAGGCGAAAAATGCCTCCAAAGTGAATCTTGTTGCTCAATTCTTGTTTTTGTTTATCATAGCCCATTAACAGCTTCGGCTTTTATATTTTTAATGCATGTGTAATTTACTTGCCCAGTAATATAGATGGATTGTGTGGCTTACGGTCATGGTCATTTTTTATTAGGCACAGGACCTACATATCTCATATTGTGTCCAACAAGACATCCACCGATCGTAGTGAACAGGCGTTACGTTGCCAGAAACCCTTTATTTTTATCTGATACTGTGAGCTTTCATGTTGACATCTTCATAGCCAACAAATTGCGTTTTGAGCTGGTGAGAGTAGGTCACATCCGCTTGCCCTGATTCTATGACCTGACAGATAGCTGCGTCCTGTCTTGTCGCATAGACTGCGTCCCTGGTCATAGAGTTTCATGAAAGCTGGACTCTCGTAGCAGACTAATATTTGGTTTTTTTCCACTCAGGTCAAAAAGAGTCTATCAATGACTTTCCCTTTTAAATTTACATTTATAGCTTTGAGTCTGAATTTTGGAAAAACCAACAACAAAACAGAAAGAGGTCTGCAAATTCGAGCACGAACTACTGCGAATCGATAAACCTCTTCACGGTAACTTGTTTGACGGGTGAACCACACGTACCATTTAGAAATCACCCTAAGCTTTCGTTGTACGTTGAGGAGTGTTGTTGGATAGGGATTGATATTGCAAATTTTCTGGGTTTCACACGTGAAATAAGGCAAACACGAGTTGTTTTCTATCGACGTTTAAACGGTTCAAAAATACATATGAGAAGGTGAATCTGATGTATACTATAGGAAACGCATTACACATTAAAGCTGACTCGTTCAATTGCGTGAAAAAACTTTATGAGAAATTTATTTACGTGTAACTATGTCTCAAGAATATTGCAATCTCTTCAATGCAGTAAATGTTAATCGTATGCTATTCGTTGTATATGTTTTTTCTCAGACAAATTGCGTTCTCCATCTACTTTAGTAAGTGTTACCAAGTGACTAAAGTACGCAGTATCATACTACATTCGTCATTGCATTAAATAATGTCTATATAATATATATAACATTGTATACAGAAATATAAATACATTATTGTTACCTTATCTAATTACCCTAGGACGTTAGTCTGGGGACCCATGTTATTGATAAGTGTGTAAACATGCGATTCTATCAAACATTTCAATCATGACCCGTTTCACTATCTTTGTGTAAATCGGCCTCTCATAAATCGCCATAGCACGCCCGTCAAAATCAGAACTCCGAGGCTAGTGCCATAAACGGCATAAGTATTGACAGGTTTAGATGATGAGCATGTTATTGAATTTGTTGAACTTGTTGAATTTGTTGCATTTGTTGGAGCTGCGTGTCCGCTCTTTGGCGGCACCCACGAGAGTACGACAATTGCCAACGCGAACAAAATAAAAAGAATGATGACAGCTAAAGGTGCCCTATATGTACGTTTATCTTGCTCTCTCTTTCGTAATAACTGTTTCAAAGATTAGCAGAACGTGACATTTTATTATTATGAATAAGCATGATGAAATACGACAAGTTCTTAGTAAATAATACACATACCAATGCACCAATAGCTGCGAGGAGAAAGAAAAAGTACATTGTGTATTGTTCGATCTTGACTAAAAACTCGAATGAACTGTTGCCCGGAACTATCATGGTCAATATAGAGCACCAAGCAAAGAGTGCGATAAAAGAATTTACGGGCGTCCCGAGCTTATCATTCCACCTGGACAGCCACTCAGAAATCAATGGAACGTAATTGTGCTGGCCTGCTAAATCTACCACTCTCGAAGCACTAAGTTTAATAAGATAGACGTTAAGATAGTATAATATGTGTATAATAATTTAATCCAATCCTTTACCTTTGCATCAACACGGCAGCAGCACCGAACGCACTGAGAGCGATGAAAAAACCCAACGCACGCGCTCCTTTGATTTTGGTTAAGGAAAAATCAGGAGCAGCAATATTGACATCTCCTTGGTCGATTTGTGCGGCGAAATAAATGCCTATAATTTCGTTAGGATTCGATCCATCAGCTCCGATTACGGTAGCAACGTTCAGCACCGCCGTGTAAGCAAGATTTGCCAGCAGATCTGTTTGATGTAAGTTAGTGATAAACGTTCGAGCAAAGCTGTATCTCGATTAAACGATATTACTTACACAATATAGTGACTAGCCCGATTGCTCCTGCATTACTTATCAAGAGGTTCCTAGAAGATTCTCCCCTATCAAATTCCTCAGTGAGATCTGGAGACAGTAAGTCAAAATGTTATTAAATATGCAGATCACGAAAAACCACTCCCATTCATATTTGATATGCTTAATTTGATGCTTACAATTGAGATTATTCCAGCCCGAGTACGCAAACAGAATCGTTAGCATTGCGGTTATATATCTTTGAATCCATTCCGTAGCGCTAACGTTCTGATAAAAGGCTGGACCGGCGGGAGAAAACATGTCCCAATTTACGTTTTTGTTGGTCAACCTTTCTGCCGATGCTTTTGCGAATGATAGTCCGAGTATGACAACAATTAATACCGTTAAGACTTTTGTCGTAACCAACGCCTGGTTGATCTTATTCGACCATTTGTTGGAGAGTGAATGGTACAGGGCTATCACTGCAAGAATTGCCACTGTAGTTAACTTGAGTCTCCTATAATAAACAAGAAATAAGCAAATAATTCATAG